TTTATTTTTTTTTTTTTGGGGGGACGAGTGCTTGCTGGCGGGGTTGCCGGATTTGTAAGGAAATACCGGGGTTTGGGGAAAAATTGTTTGAAATCGCCGCAAAACTGAAAAAAAAAAACGTATAGATTTGTATATTTTGAAAATTAAACAAAAATTCAAATTTCACAAAAAAAAATACGAAACAGTAACAATAATTAGAAGTTCAAATGATGGGTGACGGTCCGTTTTTTGCTTTAACTGGTTTTTGGTAACTTTTGAAATAAAAAATCTAAAAGTTTTAGGTAATTTTCAAAAGGCTGCAGCCTTAGCAAAAAATGGTTGAAATACAACAAAAATGAAGCAAATTGAAGCTTGAAGTATGTAATTTCAAGATCTGATAATCGAAAATTTCTATCCAGCGAAAAAAAATTCAAAAATTTTGCTTCCCTTTCAGAAGGTCCACGGGCTTCACAATTTTTTTTTGATAATCTCACATGTCAGCTCTTTTAGTGTGATTCTTCCTCTTTAATTTGAGCTGTTTAAGAGCTTTCTACGATGATTTGCTGCTAAGTTATCCTTGTTCAAAGCAAATATGACCATTTTGGCTTTGATAATTCATTAATCGGTAAATAATGATCATACAGAAAATCTAAGCAAAGTTTTCAAAGTCCTCCTAAGTCGATTTTTGATTAAAAAAAGGCAAAAAACTGCATATTTAAGGATTTTCGCTAAAATTGGGATAACTAAATTCAAATAACTTAAATTAAGAATATTTTCGGTTGTTTTCTTAACCTGAAAATATCCCAAAAAAGCCTCAACAGTTCAAACCACTGTGAATTTTCTTTCATTGTGATTCGAATGACTGAAATTGTCACTTTTACTAAAAATCAATGAAATGATAAATTTTGCATCTTTTTTATTCATTTTTTTTTTTAATGAAAATGTTTTTTTCGCAAAGATCCATATTTTTTTCCATTAAAAAATGTTAGGTAAATATCGAAAACATAAATGAAAAATATAAAAAAAATGTTTTTGAAACATTCACAATGCTATCAATATAATAGTCCAAAAATTGTGTTTTTGTTTGGGATTGCGATCTCCTCCTTGCTTTCAAATGTCAAATGTTTATTGCTAAAAGTTATATACCCCCAATCAGTTGTTGTATTTTCTTCCATAAATCTTGAAAACTTACCGACTTCTATGGAGCATAAATCGTTTTCACGAGCTTTAATTAGAAAAAAAGAGTTACCTACTTTCAAAACTAACCTAAAAATCTTTTCTGTATATTCGAAAATATACACATAATCTTTTATATTATATATTTGACGGTTATCATTGTGAATACTGTAAAAAAATAAGTTTTTTTAATGTTTCCCTTTTTCTCGATACTTAACACTTTTTGATAGAAAATATGGATTTTTAACAAAAAAGAAACATTTTCAATTATAAGAAAATGAGAAAAAATGCAACATTTTTCCTTTATTTGATTTTTAGCAGATGTGACAATTTCTGTCATTCAGTCTATTCCTTATTTATAAAGTAATTTCAAATTTAACGAAAATCCTTAAATACGAAATTTTTTACCTTTTTTTGAATCGAGCTTTTTCAAATGAAATATAAGAACGTCTTATACATGATAGTTTAAATTTTCAGTACGATCATCAATTATTATCAAAGTCAAGAAGATAAAAAAAATACAGGTTGAAGACCGTGGACCTTTTGAAAGAGAAGCAAAATGTTGAAATTTTTTTCCACTGCATTTCTCATGATTTCTTAGAAAAAGCGGTCAAAGATAAAAAAAATTACTTGCAGATTATGAAACTAGAAACTACAAGCTTCAATTTACTTCTTTTTTGATTGCTCTACAAGAATTTTTCGCCAAGTTAAAACCATTTGAAAATCATCTAAAAATTTAAGATTTTTTTTATCTTTTAATTTTTTTTAACTAGTTTAGTTTAGTTTGAAGATGTTTCAAATTTAAAAAAATGTACAAATTTCAAAAAGAATAAAACAAGCGGCTCTCAATTTTTTGCTAGCTTTCGAGATAAAAAATATTGTGATTTTTTTCCAATTTTATTTCTTCCCCCGCACTTCATTTACTAAGGGAAGTATCTGAATTATTTAGCTGCAGAAAGCAGGATGCACAGTAAATTTTAATTAAAAAAATTCCCTGATATTTCCATTTTTTTAAATCATAGTCGTTTCTTAAATTTTATATGTCTATCACCTACGGATATATTTAACAAAGTATGATTGTTTAAAAAATTATACATCGGTCGCTACAAAATTTACACAAATAGGAGTGTTTCATTTTGGAAAAAAAATTCTAATAATTCTTGGTTGTCTGAATATAAAATAAGGGCAATAAATATACAAGAAGATTTTTTGTTTGGATACAATAATTACATTCATAACATAGAATTAAGAAAGTATTGTTCGAAAAATATGTTAAGTTAAAATATATATTTATATTTTTTTAATACTGANATTTGTTTAAATAGAAAAGATAGCTAATAAAAGTCTTTGACTCACGAGACGAGAGATGTCTTGTATTATGTTCCTTTAGACAATTTTACAATAATCTAGCGGATAGGACTTTTTTCGAGTTTCTCTTTTATTTTCGCTAATTTTCCTGGTGTAAAATGATTAGTACCCAGGCAGGTGGATAGGCAGGGGACATGATGTATCGATTCACTGGCCGCCACGTTTGCTCGACTTAAATCAATGCGATTTTTTTTATTTGGGGGCTTTAAAACAGAAAGTGTACTCTATGAGGGGCAACTATGGAAGAGGATTGAAGATGCCGATCACAATTTGCAGGATGAAGGAATACTGAGAATAGCGCGTGTTTCCAACAAGCTAAGATCAAGGCATGTTTAGATGCATGGTAACTTTTAACGCTCGTATCTTTCCTAGAAAACTTTTTAGGTTCGTATTTGTAATTTTTTCTTTATTTCCAGAATAGTTGGAGCTTACTGACCCCCTTTGGAAGAGACCAGAGGCACGCCCTTGCGCTCTTATCCACCGTCATCGCGCGAAGCATCCGAGATAGTGCTGAAAAAATGGTAAATTGTAAAATATAAATTTTACACGAATCGGAGTCACCTGAGGAATCGCTAATCACTGTCGACGGGATGGAAAAATGTCGGATTCCTGCCGCGGCGGCCGCGTGGGGGCTTCCCGCCGGCGGGGGTGGGGGGCGTCTCTAGATATAAAACAACCTCCCTTATTCACGGAGACAATCGAAAAAGTCGCGAGTTTGAGAAAAGTTCCGGAAAGATGAGCGCGCTTTTGTGGTTGTTGTGTTTGTCGGTGGGGGTCGCCGTCGCCCGGCCGTCGCAGAATAGCGGTAGGTCTTGTTTTATTTTTTTTTTTTTTGGGGGACGAGTGCTTGCTGGCGGGGTTGCCGGATTTGTAAGGAAATACCGGGGTTTGGGGAAAAATTGTTTGAAATCGCCGCAAAACTGAAAAAAAAACTTATAGATTTGTATATTTTGAAAATTAAACAAAAATTCAAATTTCACAAAAAAAAATACGAAACAGTAACAATAATTAGAAGTTCAAATGATGGGTGACGGTCCGTTTTTTGCTTTAACTGGTTTTTGGTAACTTTTGAAATAAAAAATCTAAAAGTTTTAGGTAATTTTCAAAAGGCTGCAGCCTTAGCAAAAAATGGTTGAAATACAACAAAAATGAAGCAAATTGAAGCTTGAAGTATGTAATTTCAAGATCTGATAATCGAAAATTTCTATCCAGCGAAAAAAAATTCAAAAATTTTGCTTCCCTTTCAGAAGGTCCACGGGCTTCACAATTTTTTTTGATAATCTCACATGTCAGCTCTTTTAGTGTGATTCTTCCTCTTTAATTTGAGCTGTTTAAGAGCTTTCTACGATGATTTGCTGCTAAGTTATCCTTGTTCAAAGCAAATATGACCATTTTGGCTTTGATAATTCATTAATCGGTAAATAATGATCATACAGAAAATCTAAGCAAAGTTTTCAAAGTCCTCCTAAGTCGATTTTTGATTAAAAAAAGGCAAAAAACTGCATATTTAAGGATTTTCGCTAAAATTGGGATAACTAAATTCAAATAACTTAAATTAAGAATATTTTCGGTTGTTTTCTTAACCTGAAAATATCCCAAAAAAGCCTCAACAGTTCAAACCACTGTGAATTTTCTTTCATTGTGATTCGAATGACTGAAATTGTCACTTTTACTAAAAATCAATTAAATGATAAATTTTGCATCTTTTATTCATTTTTTTTTAAATTGAAAATGTTTTTTTCACAAAGATCCATATTTATTTCCCTTAAAAAATGTTAAATATCGAAAACATAAATGAAAAATATAAAAAAAATGTTTTTGCAACATTCACAATGCTATCAATATAATAGTCCAAAAATTGTGTATTTGTTTTTGATTCCGATCTCCTCCTTGTTTTCAAATGTCAATTTAAAAATTTATTGTTAAAAGTTGTATACCAGTCGTTGTATTTTCTTCCATAAATATCGAAAACTTACCGAGTTCTACATAGTTTCTACGAACTTTAATTAGAAAAAAAAACTTTAATTTAAAAAAAACGTTTTTTTCAAAACTAACCCAAAAATCTTTTCTGTATATTCGAAAATATACATATACTTTTTTTTACTATATTTTTGACGATTGTCATTGCGAATACTGTAAAAAAATAAGAATTTGTCTAAGTCTTTCTTTTTTTTCGATATTTAACACTTTTTTGCTAAAGAATATGGATTTTTGGGAAAAAAAAAACATTTTCAATTATAAAAAATGAAAAAAAGATGCACAATTCATCCTTTATTTGATTTTTAGCAAATGCGACAATTTCTATCATTCAGTCTATTCCTTATTTATAAGTTATACCAAAAATGTCATTTTTGCGTCGAATGACGATAACACAACGGCAAATCATCGTGCGAAACTGTTGAATAGTTTAAATTAAAGAGGATGAGTCAAACTAAAGGAGGCAATAGGTGGGATTACCAAAAAAGCATTATTGAATTCCGTGGACCTTTTGAAAAGGAAGTAAAAATTTTGAAAATTTTTTTCCGCTGGATTTCCCATGATTTCTTAAAGGTAGTGAACGATAAAATTTTTTGACTTCGTGATCCTGAAACTACAAACTTCAATCTTCAATTTACTTCTTTTTTTATTACTTTACAGGAATTTTTCAAGTTACAGCCTTTTGAAAAATCACCTAGAAATTTAGGAATTTTTTTATCATTTATTTTTTTTGACTTGTTTAGTTTGAAGATAAATTTAAAATAAAGTACAAATTTAAAAAAGTAACAAAACAAGCCGCTGTCAATTTTTTGAGAAACGATTTTTTGCTAGCTTCCTAGATAAAAAATATTATATTTATATTTTTTTAATACTGAGTTTATTTAGAAACGGAAATTTTAAATTTAACCAAATAAGTAAGAACTATTAAAATTTGTCCATACTTTTAAAAAATGTAAGCATTATTTTTAATTTTGTCCGTTTAAAACAAAGCCATTTTATTTTAAATTAAAAACCGCTTATTTAAGATTCAAACAAATATTTTTAGAATTTACTTTTTAATTACTATACCTACTTATAAATTAATGCAAAAAATTAAAAGGGCAAAAGAATTTCCGAAGTTTTTCCGTGATTTTTGACAGACTTAGCCGTCAATTTTCTAAAAAACCGTAAATTACCCTTTTTCTCCTGTTTTTTAAAAATTCGTGTTAAAGATGAAAAAAGACTTTTTTCCAAAAAGTTGAGGCAGCATGTTACAGAAAATTTATTCCAGTTTTCGAGTGCCCTTCAATTCTCTGTACGACCATTTGTCGCCGAGATATCGATGATTGAAGACAAAAGGATCCTTTTCCATTAAAAAAAAGGAAAATGAATTTGAATAAACAAGCTATCTGGTCCATGCAATGGCTTAGCTGAAAAAATTTTGCCAAGTCCGTAGAAAAAAATTATGTAGTGTAATAGTACAGGCATTACAGTAGGATCACCCTCAAAAACTGACGGTAAGAATATTCCATGATAAAAAGGTGTGGATCGTGTTGGTGAATCAGATTAGGGTTCGTGCCGCAAAAAAAAAAGTCAGCGTTAATTTTTTATAAGCAAAAAACAGGTGAAAAAACAGGTTTTATTAATTATTAATATAGAACTTCTGCATTTAAAACAATGTAATTTCTACAAGATATCGGCGCTAAAAAGCTCTTTAATTTGAATGGTCGCACGTCAAAATCGAATAAATAGTTATTGAGTTATTGCAAAAAAAAACCACTAAAATAAGCCATTTGTTAATTATTTAATAGCTTTAACAATTTGCAAAATATCAANCAAAAAATTAAAAGGGCAAAAGAATTTCCGAAATTTTTCCGTGATTTTTGACACTGTATTTAGGTGAAAAATCGAGAATTAAAAAAAAATTTTGAAGCTCTAAGATTCTAGTTTTTAGATCTTTCGGTCGAAATTTTTTAGGAGCTACAATTATCATGTAATTTTAAGACGACAAAAAAATTTGGCAAATTTTCTTTGTCGTGCTCAAAAAAAAAAACTTTCAAAATTTTTTTATGGCGCTATTTTTTAGAATTGCGTGATAACCGTAGCTCCTAAAAAAATTCGACCGAAAGATCTAAAAACTAGAATCTTAGAGCTTCAAAATGCTTTTTTTTAATCCCCGAAACGACCATTTTTCACCTAAATACAGTCTGTCAAAAATCACGGAAAAATTTCGGAAATTCTTTTGACCCTAATATTTTGAAAAAAATCTGATTATTATTGCCGGGACCTCAGGAATAACTAGAAATACTGAAAAGCTTATATGAACATGGTCGTGCTAAATTTAATTGTTAGCAACATCTTACTGAAAAAAATTACTTTGTTAGAAATTTTATAAAAAAAAATTAGCTGCAACTTCGTTTGTAGACCGAGCAGGATCTTTTAACTACCATCAAGCCTTTGGAGTAGGCAACTAACAATACATAAAGATAAAGTTTAGTATACAACACACTGCCAGTTTTGGTTATTTGTCGCCGTAGTGTGCAAAATTCACTTTAATAACTTGAAGATCCAAGAGTTACACTTTAGACCTTAGGTTAGTAATATACTGTTAAATTTATAGCAATTTTAAGCTATGAGGTTAGATCAAAGCGTTTATATCCTAGGACTAAAGTGAATTTTAACAATACGAAAATTAGACGATACACTTTAGCTCCTTCATCAAGCAATCATTTCAGGGCATGGGACATTAATTTTAGTTGTTCCGGATCATAGAGTGCCAAGAAAATTATACATGTCGCAGAACTATAACGTTTTTTAATAACTTGTCCAATAAAGATGTAATTTTTTAAAACTAAAGCTTCTTTTAATTAAAGAAAGGCTAAAATATGCGCTTTAGTCACTTAATATACAATGCACTATAATTCCTACCACATTACAGGTTACCGCCTCGTACCCAGACGCGCCGTGATGTTCGGCGGCTACTACTCGAACCCCCTCTTCGGGCGCAGCCACGACTTCGTCCCCCACGGCGCCATGTCGGCCATCGTCACCAGAGACACCGTCGCCACCAACTCCTACTCGGGCAACCCCCCGCAGTACCCGCCCCTGGACGTCCTGCCCGTGGAGGAGAACGAAACGGTGGAGCGCTACACCGAGAAGGCCACCGAACTGATCCCCCCACAGTACATCCCTCCCGAGGCCCCCGTCGAACCCCAGCAGCCCGTCGAATTGGACGCGCCGCTTCCCAGTCAACCGGAGATTCAGGCGCCCCAGGAGGAGCTGCTGAGTCCTCCCGTCATCCCCGCCGAGGAGCCTCTACCGGTGGACGTCGCTCTAGCCGAGGAGGTGTCCACGGAGGTGGTGACGGTGACCAAGGCTACGAAGAGGGCGCCCAAGAAGAAGCCCGTCAGGCCTCCACCGGCTCAGATAGACGAGGATGAGGAGGACGAACAGGGGCTGTCAGCGTTGTGGCCCTTCGCAGGCGGCAAAGGTAATGTAGAGGGTTTTTAGCTGATGGCGTGGACAAGCTTTGACTTGCTGTCGTTTTTATCATTGGTTTTATAAGCTATTTACGTAGTATACTCAAGTTTGTACGTTACGCACGTTTTTATTAACTTATTTGTACACTACGCATAGTTGTACATTACGCACAATTGCACATTACGCATAGTTATACATTACGCACAATTGTACACTAAGCGCAGTTGTACACTACGCGTATTTGTACATTACACATAGTTGTACATTACGCACAGTTCTACACTACGCATAGTTGTACATTACGCACAGTTCTACACTACGCATAGTTGTACATTACGCACAGTTATACACTACGATATTTGCACTTTACGCATGTAACTATTTTACGCCTATTTGTACTTTACGCGTATTTGTACTTTACGCATTACTTGCTAAGGGGTATAAATCACAATGAATAAATGACATTTTTTCTTCTGTTGTCGCAGGATCGGTGCCGTCGTACAACGCCTTCTTCCCGATCAGCATCAGCGGCGGCGCTCCGGCCAGGACTCGCGCCCAAGGACAGGAACAAGGGCTAGAAGACTACGTTCCTGGTTCGGCCACCGCCATAGCCAACTCTTTTTCCACGGGAAAGGGCGGTATAGCCACGAGTCACGCCACTTCCTTCGGGGACCCCTACCTGGCCTCTCTGGTGCGTAACGGACTGCTCAGCTTCCGGTCGAAGAAGCCCCAGGAGTCTTAGAATAAGGAACGTAACGCTAATTGGTTAAAATGGACGGGAGACGCGGTTATTTATTGTTGTTTAGTATGTGAAATAAAGATTATCAATTCGTAATGGGTCTTTAATTTATTCGCGGACCCAAGATGGAACCCTGAGGAACCCCTGATGTAGCTTGATGGGTTTTGGATTAAAACCGTTAAATATAACATTTTGCAATCTATTTTGAAAGTAAAAACCCACCAAAATCTTAAGCCAAAACTTGGAACAATTTATAATCGAATAATTACAAACGTAAGTGTCTGTTATTGTAAAACTTTTATTAGGGTGATTTTTCGTGAACGGCTTTGTTTTGGCGTCACCTATAACAGCTTTACACTTAAAATCCCACTTCCAAAATCACCCTGTATAACTTAACGGTATTCGAAACTGTTTATTGGGTATGGCAGAAAAAATAAGCATGCGTTGTAATTGTCGCAAAAAAAAGTGCGAGTAGGCGTTCTGATAAAACAAACGATACACGAGACAAAAAAAAAGACAGTTGCAACATCTCGTCCAGTTAGATGAATGTAGAAATAGGGGGTCATTTAAATTTTAAATCAGATAACAATGGCCGGTCCACCTTTGGCCGATTAGGTAACAATGTAATGGTGTCTCGGGCTTATTTTAGCACAGAGCGCTAATGGCTATGGCTCTTTTACAAAGTAATTGACAGTTGACAACTAGGTATCATTGTTTGTTTGTTTGTTTGTGATCTAGAAGGCCGTCATTCGTTCTCGGAACCGTCTAAATTTTATGCTTCTTATGTTTATAAAACTAATCGAGTAAGCTAGCGGTGAGACGCCTTGAAAATTAAGAAACGGAACGTGCTGAATAATATTGGAAAACACACAGACGTCAACAACTGTTACATACAGGGTGTTTGGCAGTATCTAATAAATTTAAATCCTATAAATCTGTATAAAGGAAAGTTAAATTACACATTGAATTTTTAAACATTTATTTATTTTTTTTTAATTTTTGAAACGCTGTAGCTGGACACTGGCTGTCCTAAGACCCCACATTTATACAGGGCGGTCCCGAGGTAATGGTCCAAAATTCATGGATAGATTCCCCAAGTAAAAACATTGCGATTTAGCCGAACTTACCTTAGTCCAAAAGTTGATAGTTAAAGAGATACAGGGTGTTAAATGTAAAATATTATTTTAGTTTTCTTTAACAAATGCAAATATCCTCACAAAATTTTAAGGATTGAAGTTCTTTGAGTAGAGGAATTGAAATATGTTCACATTTTGGTTATAGTTCATAGAGGGCGCTAGCTGCAGAAGATTGAATGTGTTAAAAACGACATAACTTTGTTGTACTTTGAGGTATCTCATCTTTGGTAACAAATTCTTATTTTTCAACTTTTTTTACACAAAAAAGATATACTTTATTAAAGTAGTTATCTCGTACCGTTTTCGAGATATTTGGCTTTGAAACTTCCTTGCTGTTGCATTAAATTACAATGAAGTACCTACAGGTATTATTAATTTAGTGGTAAAGTTTCTTAAGTAGGATTTGGACAAAAAGCAAATAATTGACGTCTTCCACTTGTCTTATTGCTGTCATTTGTATGCTAATTTCTATTAAGTATTATTCGTATCTAATTAAAATTACATCTTAGCTTACAAATTAAATTGTATACTCGTATACATAAATGTGAGATAGAATGCTTCGTTTTTGGAGTTACATGAAATCAGTTGTTTATGGAGAAACTATAAACACTTGAGAAGGACTGTAGTAGCAGGTTTTAAATGCTGCAAAGTCATTTCGCATTAAGGATTTATACTTTAAAATAAGACAATCTTTTAATAAACGTGTTGATAAATGTATTGAAGTTAGAGGTGGACATTTTGAGCAATTATTGTCAAAAAGGCATATTTTTTACTAATGTTTACTATTTTACTGTTCATTACAATTTTTAATTCTAAATAAACCCTTGTTTTTGACATTTCTAAATTATTTTAATTATTTCAACTATTAGCATTGGAAGTTTCAAAGCCAAATATCTCGAAAACGGTGCGAGGCAGCTACTTTCATAAAGTCCACCTTTTTTGTGTAAAAAAAGTTGGAAAATAAGAATTTGATACCAAAGATGAGATACCTTAAAGTACAAAAAAGTTATGTCGTTTCCAACACCTTCAATCTACGGCAGCTGGCGCCCTCTATGAACTATAACCAAAATGTGAACAAATTTCAATTCCTCTATCCAAAGAACCCCAAACCCCAAAATTTTGTGTAGATATTTGCATTTATTAAGAAATAAATGGAAATAAACTAAAATAATATTTTACATTTAACACCCTCTATCTCTTTAACTATCAACTTTTGGACTAAGGTAAGTTCGGTTAAATCGCAATATTTTTGCATCGGGAATCTACCCATGAATTTTGACCCATTACCTCTCTGTATAACAAAAAAACATTTATTTTCGGCCACAGAATACGCCTCTGGATTTTTGACCTCTACTTAAGAACCACCCTATATAAGAATGACATGCACGGAAAATATTCGAAATATGTAACAATAATGCAAAAAATACGAATATGAATTCTTTACTGAAAGTGCGATTTCTTGCAGACATTAAACTACGCCTACTCCGTCTAAGCTTCTCGTATATTCTTTTGCTTGCCACAACTTCAAAACTTCCTGTAATTTAAGCATTGAAAGGTCAATCTTTGACAAATATTAACGCGCAAAAAATTTATTTCGTTGTGGCGGCGGCTAAAAATAATCTATTCACTTGGTGTCCAGTCCCAACTGCATCCTTTCCAGAATAAATTGGAAGATTGCTAGGCGGATCCATTAGCTCCGTCGAGATTCGTGAGCTTTTGCCCCTAATTCCTCGTCATTTATTGCAGGAGCTTGGCTATAGTCCGTTTCGGACATGTAAGAAGTACCGCGAATCGCTTACGTATAAGGTTTTTGACGCAAGTGCACTTTTATTGCACAGAAACTCGGCTTTTGATGTTTCTACCGTCTACTTGTCATGTCAATGGCTTGTATATCTAACGAGCGTTCAAATAAAAACGTGGTCGAAGTTGGCTCTGACACATTGGACGTAGGGAGTAGCTTATAGCGACCAACTTAACCTCATTTCTCAACGAGCTGTATAGCAGCTGTCAGTTTCAATAACGTTAATGACTATATAACTTTATTTTAAAGAATAATCGTGATAACAATAACAAACAATTAAAGGAGCTGCGGAAAGTGTCCCCCTCCTTGTTATAACAATAAATTAAAGCAGCTGCTGAAAGTGTCCCCCTCCTTGTTCCAAGCACTTTTCACACCTGTTCCTCAAAGAATTAAAGACATTTTCTAAGATGCTCGGGGTATTGTTAATTTCACGAATCTTGTCTATAAGTCGAGCCTGCAGATGGTTTAAATCAGGAATAGGCAGTTCAAAAATAGTGTTTTTAAGGTAAGGCCACAAAAAGAAATCACACGGCGTAATATCACATGACCTCGGTGGAAATTCATGTTCAGCATTGAGACTTATTAGTCGATTTTGGAAAACTTCCCTCAACATATTCATCGTCTCGCCTGCCGTATGTGCCCTTGCGCCATCTTGTTGAAAGTAAAAGTTTGTAATTTCGTTTTCTTCCAGCTGGTTAACAAAAGGAGCGATAATTTCTTCTCTATACCTTTGCGCAGTAAGAGTACCATTAAAAAAAATAGGTCCATAAATCCTCCTTCGATTGAGAGCACACCAAACTCCAATTTTTTGAGCGTGTAGAGGGCCCTCGACAAAAAAGTTATCTGGTTTTTCAGAAGACCACATTCTCATATTCTGTGAGTTTACGTAACCACTTAAATGAAACCAGGCTTCATCAGAAAAAAAGGTGATATTATGAAGTTCACCGTAGTTGTTTAAAAACCATTCACAAAATACAGCCCGTCGCGGAAAATCAACTTCATGAAGTTCTTGCTGACAAGTTAAACGATAGGAGAACAAACGCAAATCTTTTTTTAACACTGTGTGGCAGGTACCGACTGATACTCCCACCATTTGTGATAAAACACGTACAGAAGTTCTTGGCGCATTTTCCATTATTTGTTGGACATTTTCTTTTAATTCTTCAGTCCGCTTTTTAGGTCGGCCGCTTCCTTCTTTTCTTGTTACACTGCCCGTTTCACGAAAAACATTAACACAACGCTGAACTGCACTTTGAAAAATTTTGTACTCAACAACGCCGGGAAATTGATTTTGAAATTCTATGAAACATTCCTCAATAGAATACTTCCATATTTCATCAATCTTGCGTCCATTTCTAAAGTAGGACTCTATGATAAACACTTTTTGTTCTTGAGAAAACGCCATTTTAAACGCTTTTTAAAACGAAAATATTCAAATTGATAGCGGCGATATAGCGCTTTGACTGATGACGTTTAAGTTCATTTGCTATACGCTACGCTCTACGTCCAAATTTTCAGAACCAACTTGACCACGTTTTTATTTGAACGCTCGTTATAAATTGGAACACCCTGTCTTTTTTCACATCTCTAACGATGTTTTGCTTTCGTTGGACACTGGAAATGTCAGAGCATTGGTATTGTTGGACTTCCCAAAGGCTTTTGATACTTTGGATCGCTCTTTTCCATGTTCAAAAATAAAATTTATGAATTAGACAACTTGTCTGTAAAGTTTTTTAATTCCAATTTGACTAATGCCATCAAAAAGTTATATTAGACGAACGCTGTTTAGAACTGGATGTTAATATTTCAGGAGTGCCCCAGGGATCTATGTTGGGGCCATTGTTGCTTTTAATTTATACAGCAGACTTATTTCATTATAAGGAATTTACTAAAGCTGTTACTTGTACAGATGATACTCAGTTATTTTATTCCCGTTATATAAGCGTAAAAATTTCCGAAAAAATTATTTAATTCATATGATACTTGTATACAGTGTGAACCATTTGTCTTCAGTTATTGTTGAAATGAGTCACACTGTATGTAATGTAATTATTATTGTTAAAAAAAATTGAAACTTCGCTATTTTTCTCTCGTCGCGTGTTCAACGCGTTCCTTATACGTCCCAAACGAACTATAACACATTATTATTGTAAAAATAACCCGCTTGGACCTTGTTATTTAACCATTAACTACGACAGCACGTACTGCTGCGCGCGGAAGTACTTTCAGTCCTTTAGCCTTCCGATGAGGTTCCTTTTTGGTTTCGTATAAAGTCAAAATGTCGACACTGTCTTCTGTTTTCGGCGTTAGAACATCGCAGTCGGCGTCGAGTTTCTTGATTGGCGAGAATATGGTACTTAGTTGCTTGTAGGACGGTGGTACTTAAATTGTTACGGTTTTTCTTTTGTTTTCGTCGAGGAAAATGTATTTTCCGAAGATAAATCGCGTATACACAGCCGTTTTCTCAGGTGAGTAAGGCTTTTTGATTCTAATATTTTTTTTTACAAAAATCGCTTCATTTTATACGAAATTAAAACTGAATATTTTTATACGCACTTGATTTATGCTTTTATTTAAATGATTTAATGCAAAAATGCCAAATGAAAGTGATTTGCAGAGAATAATATACCGCCCCCTCTTACGCATGTCCCTGGCTTCTAAGCTAGACTTCGGGATTACAATTATGTGTAGAGATAATATTATTATTTAGTAGAATAAACAAAAATTAAATTAGTCAACATTTTGTTAAAACAAAATTACAATATCCGGCAATTAAAAAAATGAATATACAGGATGTTTCTTATTTAGAGGTCCAAAATCCGGGGGTTATATAAATGTGGTGTCTTAGGACGGCCATTCTCCAGTTACAGCGTGTCAAAAATAAAAAAAAACAGCTTTTAATTTCTAAACCGCTTGAGATAATTTAACCAAAGTGTTGTTAATCGGTTTGAAATACAAAAAAGTGTAAAGAAACAAAAAGTGAAGATAATACAATAGCACATATGATGACCTACTTTATTTGTAATATTATGCAGGGTGACATTTTTTCTTTGGCAAATAATGATTGATGAGACCTACATCTCCGCCACTGGTAAGTTTCTAAAGCTGGTATTTTTTTGTTTCATACCTACTGTCATACTAAATACGCACACCGAATTTGGTTAAATTATCTCAAGCGGTTTAGAAATAAAAAATTAAAAGCTTTTTTTTTAATTTTTGACACGTAGTTGATCAATGGCTGTCCTAAGACTCCACATTTATATAACAAAAAACCTTATTTTCGGCCACAGAATAGACCCTGGATTTTTTTACCTCTACTTAAGGAACACCCTGTATATTACAGAAAACATTTAATTGTTTACGTGACAATTTCGTTTTAAATTCTATACGTAACTTACAACTGAGATTTTAGCGTTTAATTAGCATATTTATTTTCAAAATTCCCGCGTTAACTGAATAGTAGTCGACTCGACCACTTGAGGCGTTGCTGTTCCGATGCATGGTTATCTACGATGACTATCAACTGTTGTTCCTACGCAAAATTTTGAGTGGTACATTTTAAATGAAAGAACTATTAACGTGTTTGGAATAGGCTTTTAAACAGACAATTTACAAAGTAATGAAAAAATTGTAGTGAATTCCTGTCATTTAGTAACACGTAAATTCTCAAAGTTCTTTAAAAATTATCGTCTAATTTGAAAATTAACTTTATTAGTAAATTGCGTTGAAGATCTACGCAATATTTGCTAATCAGGAAAGGTTTTTGCTTTGTTTTCGGATTATAATTGGAATCTATCTAATAAATATTTGCTGTTTTTCTCTATTTTATTTAATTTTTGAGAGAGACAAAGCAATTACAATCGATCTAGTCAAATTCAAAGCTTGTGACATTTTATTTTTTCTGTAAGTATCGTTTAAATCACAATTGGATCCAAATTTATCTGATCTGGAGATACCGAATAAAACTCTCCTTTAAAAAAACATTTCTATAATCAAGAACTGAGCTACAACCTCCATTTCAGGCAACCTGCTGCTCTTGGTATGCGGCACAGCTCTCACCTGGTCATCACCAGAGCTGCCTAAACTGACCAACCCCGCCACCACGCCGTTCCAAAGAACCATCAGCCCCACGGAATCCTCCTGGATATCCTCCGTCGTCACCTTGGGCGCCTCCATAGGACCCTTCCTCTTTGGCTACCTCGCTGACAGAATCGGGAGGAAATCCACCTTGATCTACCTGGGTCTACCTTTCTTGATATGCTACCCCCTCCTAGCCATCAGCACAAGCGTCGAGGCTTTCTTGGTGGCGAGGTTCCTCATGGGGCTAGCCGTGGGTGGTACCTTCATAGTAGTGCCCATATACATAGGGGAGATATCGGACAAGAACAACCGTGGAGCCATGTGTTCGACGATGAGTTGCTTTGCTTGCTTCGGCATATTATTCTCTTGCTGTCTGGGTCCCTACGTAAACGTCACGATCTTCAACCTAGCACTGGCTGTGTTCCCCGTGGCGTTCCTGGTGTTGTTTTCGTTACTAGCCACGGAGACACCTCATTTCTTTGTTAGGGAGCAGGAGAACGTCTTGGCCAAGATAGTCCTGGAGAAGATCCGTTCTGGTGATGAAATCGTCGACAAGGAACTCAAGGAAATCCAAACCGCAGTGGAGGAAGAAGACCAGGGCACGTTTCTGGACAGCATAAAGTCTAAGGGGGTGGTTAGGGCCTTCGTGATATCCGTTGGACTGTTGATCTTCCAACAGCTCTCCGGAATCAACGCTGTGCTGTTCTACGGGCAGCAGATCTTCCAACAAGCAGGTGAGAAATCAGTTCTCCTCCATGCACGGTACAAGAAATAAACAGCTCCGTTTTACAGGTACTACTTTGCCGGCCGAGATCTGCACCATCATCATCGTAGGGGTCCAGTTCTTGAGCAGCTTCTTCACGCCGTTGGTCGTGGACAGATACGGAAGGAAGATAATCCTCCTGGGATCGGCCTTCGGCATGCTGGCCTCCGAATTGCCCCTTGGGGTGTACTTTTATCTTAGAACCCACAACGTTGACGTAAGCCACATATCCTTTCTCCCCACACTGACCCTTACGACTTTCATAATCGCCTTCAATTTTGGTTTTGGGCCTTTGCCCTGGGCCCTGCTGTGTGAGCTGTTCCCTTCCAACGTGAAATCAACAGCTTCAGCGTTGGTGTCTTGCTTCATATGGATCATGGCCTTCTTTATGACTAGATACTTCGAGATCCTGGTGGAGATTTTTGGTATGGACGTTCTCTTCTTGTTCTTCGCGCTGTGTTGCCTTTTGGGCGCCTTGTTCACCGTGTTCTTCGTCGTGGAAACCAAGGGAAGGACTCTGAAGGAGATCCAGGATGTGCTCAACAGTTAACAATCGCTTTAAATTACATCCAAATGGATGGGGATGTTTCTGTGGATTGGTTCCAGATCCAATGTTTGATGTTAGTCTTAGTTCCGTCGCCTTTAAAGAAGACGAAAACAACACAATAACATCGAAATTTGGAGAACTGTTGAAAATACCGTTTGGCTAAAATGACGCCGGCAAAATTCAGGTTAACCTTTAGCGATGTTTTTTGACTCAGTGAGTACGAAAACGACATTTGCTCCCTTAAGCCCACTCTTTTGTTTGCACTTTGCAATTATATTTAACATAAAATCATATATGAATAGAAGAAATACCATTATCAACTCCAGGTGAAATAGTTTTACATATTATCCATATTGTAGGGAAAAATGACGTGTGTAATATGTTGTATGAAGCGTCTGGGTTTGTACTAGGTCGATGGGGTGTAAGTCTGGCGAACCTGATGGACACAGCAAATAATCACAAACAGTTTTTCAGTTACAAAGGTTTGAATTATGTATGAATGTGAGACTTATCATATTTTATTTATTTTAGTTTAAGATCCATGTGATACTGGCGAATCGTTGTTTAATGTTATTAAATTTAAATAAACAGATGCAATTTTATCATGTCTCATTATGTTACCAAGAAAGCCGATTAAGTTTAGGTAAATGATGTTCAATATGAATTTTGTTTAGAATTTCGAGAATAATTGAAATATGGAATAATATATAAAAAAATTAAAGAAAAAAGCAACTTTGTACCGTCATGACATTTTGACTGAACCTGTATACTTAATTTTTCTTTACTGTAATAGGTTTTAAAAACCCCGTATAATATTAAAAACAATTGATTTTAAAAACATTTACATTTTATGTTTTCTAAATGTAAAAAATACCTTTTCAATAATTGCAATGAAAAAGAACAGCAACATTTTTCAATTTGTCTGTTTCCGCAGAACGATGCGCATCTTGCGATTTCCGCTCATCTGACTTCGCTGGTTTCCACCGTAATCCGTCGTTATTGCGCCATCAAGATCACCTTGCGTTTCGATGTCACCGTCCGACGAGCCTAATCGGTCGAAACAAACGCGACGCAACAGCCCACTTGATATGCAGGCGGCATTCCCCGTAATCGCACCTCTTGTAACCGACTGGTGTGACACCGTGCATAAAACTCAACATTTCGACGTCGAAATAGGCCAAAGTCGCCCGAGGGCCTTCTAGATAACAGAATAGAAGGCCGGACCGATCGGTTTCGATTGGATTTTATTTTGCAACTTTGAGAGGGATCGTCCGACTACTAGTAGGTGCCATCGACGCCCTGTATCATTAGTTATCGTCTTCGCCTGTCGACTTGTGGTAGAGGTCTTGTAAGTGCGATTGTTTTCTGTACTCACTCGCCGGGTTTTGTTCTTCGAAAGATAAACAGGGCGTCCCAGAATGTGGCGGGAGCTTCTCGTAAATACAATTTTTGTAACCAGTGTAAGTTTTGCCAACATTTTGTACTTTTTATTTAGTAAACTTTGCTCTACAAATGCGATTTAAACAGTTTTGTGACAAAGTTATTTTTTTTGTCAATTATGTGATTTTTTTAAGTTTTATATAGGTTAGTTTTATAAATAAGTGCGACAAATTTCAGGGGGTGATTCCCTGTGGAGAAATAAGGTAGGTCTTTTGAAAAAAAAAAATCGCGCTCGATGGTGCGAAAAAGTAGTTTTTAATTTATTTCTGAAATACCAAAAAAGTTACAGAAATTGAATTATGTAGGCTTTTTCTGCAATCGAGAAGGCACTCAGTAAACAATTTGTTGATTTTCCCCTATGGTTGCAAGGTGTAGAAAAAGCCACCCCTAAGACTTGTTTCATATGTAACTTTTTTTCTTAATAATATCTTACTATTTAAAAATTCATTTCAGATAGCCTGATTCATTCTAAACAAAAATGGTCTCTTGTAATTTTTTCGTAAAATTAATGATTTCTGAGCAAAGTAGGCGTTGTCACGTTGATATTTTGTAATGGCAACTTTAATTTCATTAAATATGAGAAAAAGCTAACTATTCTAAATTAATAAAAAGTACTCATCAAAAATCGATTACCTATCGAAAATTAAAGAAAAATCAAAATTTTGAAAAAAATTAAAATTTTCTTTTTCAAATTTCAAAAAAATTCTTTTTTTTCTCGACATTTGAAATATTCAATGTAAAATTGTAAAAATGAGGATGCAAAAATTTTTTTAAAAATTTTGACTTTTTTTCAAATTTCAAAAAAAAATCATTTTTTCTTGACATTTGAAATATTCAATGTAGAATTGTAAAAATGAGGACGCAAAATTTTTTTTTTAATTTTGAAAAATTGATTTTTTTAGGAAAACTGAATTGTTTTTCTAATTTCAAAAAAATTCAATTTTCTCGATATTTATATTCTATGTAAAATTGTAAAAATAAACAAATATTTTTTGAAAAATTTTGAAAAATAATTTTTTCAAAATTTTGATTTTTTTTATTGATGAGTTTTTAACGCGAAATTGTGAAGATTTTTAATACAATTTTTTACGATCCTAGAAAGGAAAACGGTTCGACCGACCGATTTACATTCCTCATGGGCATGTACTGAGCTAAAAAAAACCTTCAAGCACTGGTACTTTTCGCAATATTCGCATAGTCGTTGATTTTCCAAAGCAGCAGAAAAAGTCATTTTTTGTACTTTTTGAAATTAATACTTGAGTATACAGACTGTTACAAATTCGCTTCTCACTACAGATATCTCGGAAACGGTAAGAGATACAAACAAGCTTAAATGGGGTCAAAGTTGCGTAATCAGGGGACCACCATTATGCTTCTAAAAAATCAAGGCTAACATGATTAGTTTCTGAAATATTTGAAATTTTGGAAATCCGTTTTTATTTCATTACAGCCTTGTTTGAGGTGATTTTGAAAAAAAGAAAGAACACTTTCTCACGGCAACTTTCTGCCAAGGCTGAAATGAAACAAAAACGGATTTCCAAGATGTCGGTTTTTTTCAAATATTTCGAAAACTAATCATGTTAGCCTTGATTTTTTAGAAGCATAATATAGAGTTGGACGCGACTTTTTGTTTCGGCAAGCTTAATTTATCACTATAGATGCTAAATATTATGTATGTACAATAACACATTAGTTTCCACAGTCATAAAAATGGCGAGAAGATTGTTTACAGGCTGGTTAATTGTATAATTTTTACGTAAATTCACGTTTTCCCGTTGATTTCCACGAGAAAACAGGATAGTACTTTTTTTTCGTCTTCAAAAGACCTACAAAACTAGCCCTCGAGCGTCAAAAAATATTGATTAGATCAAAAATTATAAACATTTATGACTTTTGAATTAAACATTTATAAACTGCGTTATTATTACCAGTAGGTTTTGGCTTCGCATCCTCTCATTCCTTATCCACTGTCTAATAAATCTGGAATCGGTAAGTTAAATAATTATTTACCAGTTATGGCCTTATAAATTAACTAATTATTGGTCTGGACGATCCCGAGCATCTTCCACAATCGCACTTATTTTTTCATAGTAGATTTCATAATAATGCATTGAAATCTCTTTTTTTTTAATTTCAAATTTGCAACCTGTTTTTTTTCTATTTTTTAGCCTTAGTTGCAAAATGAAAATATACGACGCACGAGCGTGATATAGTTATATATTATTACATATTCGGAAAGCTTATGAAAAGAGTTTTAAGGTAAAAAAAATCGTCAAGATTCGTTGAAAAACAACGGAGTTACAGACTGTCAAATATATTATTTTCAAGCGAATTTCGCTTATTTAACGGCAGGACTATGAATATTATCGTCATTTTTTTCGGACTCGCTGTCGTCCGCTTCCCCCACCCTTCCGCCGCGCCACGGCTCGCCGAAAATCAAGCGACCCACTGACTTTTGACAATATTTCTGATGCACTTAACATACTTCCACAAATAAAATATTTTTACCTGGGAAAGTACTCGGGTTGCCGGTTATGACAGTATTTTTTTGCCGCTACCAACCTAATTTGTTTAACAATAGGCCGTCAATTTTGACAGTCTGTAACTCAGTTTTCAACGAATCTTGAGGATTTTTTTAACTTGAATCTCTTCATAAGCTTTCCGAATATGTAATAATATACAGGGTGAGTCAGTTTCTTGTACACAAATTTTAACAGAACACGTTTTTAAAAGGAAAAGTTCCTATAAACATATGTCGTAGAAGGCTTCGTTTCCGAGATACAGGGTGTTGAATATAATGTTTTTTTCTCGAATTTTCATTATAACTTATAAACGAATGATTAGATTTTTTTCATGTTTGGGAGATAATGCCTATTAATTAAGGGGCATAAAACAAGCGATAAGAATGTTCAAAAACTTGCACAGTGGCGGAGTGGAGGGGGCGCTCAGCCTCTTTCTTCATCAGAACTTCTACGCCAATGACTATTTAAAAAAAAAACTGTTAGTTTCATTATCTACATACAGTTTAACGAAAATAAATATCTTCTGTTTCGAAATTCCTGAACGTTTCCGAGTTATTTTGATTTTTAGTGTTTGTTGTGGCACTAAATTAAGTAATTTATTTATTACCAATTATTATCGGCTAAATATTTAATTCTTTCAACGAAACCTACCTAAATATGGTTTGTTAAGGATTCTAAAAAGCCGAAATCTCCTATTCTTTATCTCTTTCCAATGCAGTCAAAATAAATATTTGTTATATCAAGCCATACTCAAATACAAGACTTTTATAAGTTGAAATCTATTTAGTACACTAATTTTAACAATTCTTATTTATTATGTGCTGCGTAAATACTAATGTACTGAAACTAAATTGCAAAAAAAATATTGAATGAACATTGATGTTAATGTTTATGGAGAAATTTTTTGAATTTATAACAATATTTAATTAACAACTTCTTAAAACCTTTTGGCGACTGCACAACAATGTATTGTATGTATGTAATGTAACAGATTTCAACTTATAAAAGTCTTGTATTTGAGTATAGTTTGATATAACAAATATTTATTTTGACTACAATGAAAAGGGATAAAGAATAACAGATTTCGGCTTTTTGGAATCCCTAACAAACCATATTTAGGTAGGTATCGTTGAAAGAATTAAATATTTTACCGATAATTGATAATAAATAAATTATTACTTAATTTAGTACCACAATAAACACTAAAAATCAAAATAACACGGAAACGCACAGGAATTTCGAAACGGAAGAAGGAACATTATTTTTGTTAAACTGTATGTAGATAATGAAAACAACAGTTTTTTTTAAAGTCATTGGCGTAGAAGTTCTGTTTTAGAAGGGGTTGAGCACCCCCTCCACTCCGCCACTATGCAAGTTTTTGAACATTCTTATCGCTTGTTTTATGCCCCTTAATTAATAGACATTATCTCCCAAACATGAAAAAAATCTAATCATTCGTTTATAAGTTATAATGAAAATTCGAGAAAAAAAATTATATTCAACACCCTGTATCTCGGAAACGAAGCCTTCTACGATATATGTTTATAGGAACTTTTCCTTTTAAAAACGTATTCTGTTAAAATTTGTGTACATGAAACTAACTCACCCTGTATATTATTACATATTCGGAAAGCTTGTGAAGCTTGTGTAAGTTAAAAAAAAAAACCTCAAGATTCNTACTAATGTACTGCAACTAAATTACAAAAAAAAAACATTGAATGAACATTGATGTTAATGTTTATGGAGAAATTTTTTGAATTTATAACAATATTTAATTAACAACTTCTTAAAACTTTTTGGCAACTGCACAATAATGTATTGTATGTATGTAATGTAACAGATTTCAACTTATAAAAGTCTTGTATTTGAGTATAGCTTGATATAACAAATATTTATTTTGACTACATTGGAAAGGGATAAAGAATAACAGATTTCGGCTTTTTAGAATCCCTAACAAACCATATTTGGGTAGGTTTCGTTGAAAAAATTAAATATTTAGCCGATAATTGATAATAAATAAATTATTACTTAATTTAGTACCACAACAAACACTAAAAATCAAAATAACTCGGAAACGCACAGGAATTTCGAAACGGTAGAAGGGACATTATTTTTGTTAAACTGTATGTAGATAATGAAAATAACAGTTTTATTTTTAAAATAGTAATTGGCGTAGAAGTTCTATTTAAGAAAGGGGTTGATCACCCCCTCCACTCCGCCGCTGTGAAAGTTTTTGAACATTCTTATCGCTTGTTTTATGCCCCTTAATTAATAGGCATTATCTTACCAAACATGAAAAAAATCTAAGCATTCGTTTATAAGTTATAATTCGAGAAAAAAAAATTATATTCAACACCCTGTATCTCGGAAACGAAGCCTTCTACGACATATGTTTATAGGAACTTTTCTTTTTAAAAACATGTGTTGTATCTCCCATTAAAGTTTGTCTACAAAAAACTGACTCACCCTGTACATATAGCTATATCACGCTCGTGCGTCGTATATTTCATTTTGCAACTAAGGCTAAAAAATTTAAAATATTTCCAGGTTGCAAATTTCAAATTAAAAAAAAAATTATAGATTTCAATGTATTATGATGAAATCTACCATGAAAAAAACAGTGCGATTGTGGAAGATCCTCTGGATCGTCCAGACTAATAATTAGTTAAATTGTTTCTGTTTATAACTTCTGATCTAATCAATATTTTTTGACGCTCGAGGGCTAATTTTCTAGATCTTTTGAAGACGAAAAAAAAGTACCTACTCTACTGTTTTCTATCGAATTTACGTAAAAATTATATAATTAACCAGCCTGTAAGTAATTTTCCCGCATTTTTATGACTGTGGAAACTAATATGCTATTGTACATAATATTTAGCATCTATAGTGATAAATTCAGCTTACCGAAACAAAAAGTCGCGAAATGGTCATTTTCCAGCTGAATTTAAAAAGGTTAAAAGCATTTCAATGAAGAACAAACGTATTTTTCATAAGTGCGACACTAAATTGTATGTACCTATTAGAAACAGTTGTATATATAACCCCTTCAACCTATTCAATCAGGTTTAGTGATTTTTAGTCGATGGTGTGGACGATGCAATGAATGTTGATTGCCTATACTCGTCTGTCACGAAGCCTGTAGTCGTTTATCAAGGCTGTGTACAAATTTTTACCAGCACCTTCGTCGCTTATTTAAATTTGAATATAGGCAACCAGTACTACTCGACATCAATTCGCTGGTTGCCTAACCATTATTTAAGGCCTGGGAAAAGTATTATACCACAGAATCAGTGCCTTGACACGAAGTTGAGCAATATCGGGTGTCTCAATGGAAATATTCCACTCGGCAAACAAAACACTACCACCAACAATGAAACAAATGAGTAAAACGAAATACAATTACTTACCACGACAACAGATATTCACACAAACCGATTCTTTCGTAACTTCACAACGTTATAACTAACGAAAACGCCACTTTCAGGCACTCTCTCTGTCCCTGGTCAACCCCTTCGCGCTGCAGAACGCCCCGACGGCGGCGCTGACCAACCTGGCAACGTCGGCTTCCGCCTCGGCCCCCCCGCGGCCCGTCTCCCACATCGCGGACCTACGCAAGAAACAACAGAAGGTCGAGCAGCTGTCGCAGTCGGAGAAGCTACTCGCAGGGGATGACGACACGGACGGGAATCTCTCGGTCGAGGGAGCCGATGACGGCGACAACGAGGCGGCGCCTACTCTGCTCCAGAAGAAGATCGGGAAGATCCTGAGGAAGATCAGGTTCTTCTCCACGTTGGCCAACGCGTCCGGCGGAAACGGGGGGCACGGCGACGGGAACGTGGATGAGACCGGTTCCAGCTTAAGGTAAGGTGGTGGTTTCTATGAAGAGGCGTTTCTTTGGGGCGAGTTTTTTTCCCAAATAGAATAGACTTGAGGTGCATCACGAGGAACATAAGTTCTATAACTAATAAAATGAATAATATCCATTGTACTCTCTCCAATTGAATATTGTAAATATTCTCCAAATACTCCAAAGTTTTTTTTTCCAAAATTAGAATGCTCTAGGAGCAATTAAAATATTTAAAAAAAATTATCCAAAAAACTTTGCCTTTTTTTCGTCAATTATTGCTATTTCGCAACATCGGTAATAAATTTTAAACTTACAGTATATTGTGCAAAATTCAATTCTAAATCTTTTTGTCCTCTTCAATATTCTTCCAAAATGCATAGGCCCCAAGATATAAGTAAAAAGCTCAGATAAAATAGGTAGTTTTTAAAAATTTTTAAAACATTTTTGCAATTTTGAAAATGTTCCGGTTCTCGCCCAGATCTAGGAATATTCACTTTTATTAAGTGAGTTGTACTGAAGGTAATACAGCAAAAATTAGCTTGCCCCTCCCCTTACATCCAAGAAGAGGGATATTTCGATAGATCCGCACTTATACCTTTAATTCTTTTCACATGGCTCTCTCTTCGAATTCAAAATAAGGGAACATTTTTAGAGCGATTTGTCTGGATTTAACAAGTGCTTGTAGAATATGATAAAACTGTATACGTATTGATTTTAATTTCTTTCCCAGCTTATCTTATCTTATCTTTGTTTAAATATTATTTTAGTAACAGATAGCAATTATTGGTACAGCATCGTGGCTTTCGATTATGTAAATTCCATCAATCTTCAGGTGTCCCGCAAGGGCCAATCCTGGGGACACTGATGTTTGCTATGTTTATTAATGACCTAATTGAATGTCTCGATGACAATTATTTACTCTATGCGAACGACCTTACGTAGTTCTTGGGAGATAAAAATCCTCTACTAATTGTAATAGATTGCAAGATAATTGGACAACTTATATAGGTAGTTGCTGTTCAAATAATCACCCATTTCCGAATACCGTTTGTCCTGAAACTTTCAAATATCTCGAGAGATAAATCTACAAAAAAAAATGACCAATATCAAAGGACCCCGCACAAATCTTATGGAAATTGGGTCCCGGTCAAATTCGCTGAATTCTTGATATGTGATAGAGTTCATCATACTGGTCAATTGTCTCAATGGCCACAAAGCTCAAAAATGGATAGTTTTGCCGGTACAGAGCTTTAAAGCTCCGAATATCCTCCACGGATTTATGTATATGCGCAGTGTGTATAGACTTTTGAAATAGCCTATTTCATTTTTTTTATTATCTAGGTTTATATTTTTGAGGTTGCTGAATTCAGATCTGTTGTTAGATTTTCAAAATTGACAGTTGGCAGCTGTCAAATAGCTGTCAATGTGCTATAATAAAGCCAAAAACTTGTTTTTTTATGTTTTATCTTTCTTTTTTTTTAGTTCGATAAGTTCAAAGACGATATCAAATCAATAACAATGACTATCGGCAGCTGTCATTTAGCTGTCAACAATTCTTCAAAGTCCGGTAATAAAGTCAAAAAATTATTTTTTGTTTATAACTTCAAGTTTTTTAGATAAGTGAATATAAATATGATATAAAATTATGTAGTCATCAGCTTACAGCTGTCAACAAGCTGTCAACTAACTGTCAAAATGCAATAATAAAGTCAAAAAGTTACTTTTTTTAAAAAGCTTTAAGTTGCTTAGATCACTGAGTTCAAAAGTGATGTCATAAACTTATATCATGTTTGATTTCTTATCCACAAAGTTAAGCACAAAAAATAAGTTACTTGCTCTATTATTGCATTTTGACAGTTAGTTGACAGCTTGTTGACAGCTGTAAGCTGATGACTACATAATTTTATATCATATTTATATTCACTTATCTAAAAAACTTGAAGTTATAAACAAAAAATAATTTTTTGACTTTATTACCGGACTTTGAAGAATTGTTGACAGCTAAATGACAGCTGCCGATAGTCATTGTTATTGATTTGATATCGTCTTTGAACTTATCGAACTAAAAAAAAAAAAAAATAAATCATAAAAAAACAAGTTTCTGGCTTTATTATAGCAAATTGACAGCTAGTTGACAGCTGCCAACTGTCAATTTTGAAAATCTAACAACAGATCTGAATTCAGCAACCTCAAAAATATAAACCTAGATAATAAAAAAAATGAAATAGGCTATTTCAAAAGTCTATACACACTGCGCATATACATAAATCCGTGGAGGATATTCGGAGCTTTAAAGCTCTGTACCGGCCAAACTATCCATTTTTGAGCTTTGTGGCCATTGAGACAATTGACCAGTATGATGAACTCTATCACATATCAAAAATTCAGCGAATTTGACCGGGACCCAATTTCCATAAGATTTGTGCGGGGTCCTTTAAATCGTTCTACGGAGGGAATACAGTATTGCTAAAATTAGTCCTCCTTTCCCCCCTCTTTATAGGCGGGGTGAGGGGTAACTTTGAAATCTTAAATAGGAACTTCTATTTTTTGTTGCAAATTCGGATTCTTCGGCTAAAAGTACGTACCTAGGATTTTTTTTTCGATTTATGATAGATATCGCTGTAATCGACGAAATTCAATTTTTTTCGATTTCTCCTACCGAGACCTATGCATACGATTCTGCGACACGTTTAAAATAAAAAGTTCCGCGTTTTCACTATAAGTAATCAAAATTAGTCTTAAAACGAATTTTATTTCTCGAATTTTACTCGCCTTTAATGCTAAATTATCGTTTAACGAACGTATTAGTTTGAGAAGTTTGTTTTTTAAAGTTTAGGCTTTATTTTGCGTAATGCTAAAGCCTTAGAATGGAAGAAAAATATGAATTTTGTTCTATTATTTTGGGACATAGTGTACATTGTATGTAGTAGCATGTGTACGTTGCAAACTAAAATTTGCATGGATTGTTTTGAATCCACACCAAATTTCATTAAAATCGGTTCCATAACTTTCGCAAAATAATTTTTTGAAGTTTTGAAAAATTTTTTTGAATTTTCAATATGTTGCACAGCCTCAAATAAAGCACCTAGATCCTTGAAAATTTTTTCACATAGACAAGACCGATCAACCTTTCAAATGGTTTTTGAAAAATTGAAATCGGTCACAGTAAATTTTTAAAGTTAACACCCTTTTTTTTATTTTTAAACGATTAGATTACATTTATCAATTTGCAATTTAGTTTTTTTCAAAAATTATAATTTTAAAGTACTCGGAAAGACACTTCTTTTTTTAAAAAAAGTTAAATTACGTTTATTGGTTCTCGCGATATAACCGGTCAAAGTTTATCTGCATTTACCGTTAATTTATAAACAATTTAGCAATAATCTTTGATCCAGTGGCTTCGTTTTTCCGAGTTCTAAGCTGAAAAAAATTTCATATCCATAAGTTATCGGCAACATAGATAAATCAGCGGAAAAGCTGTCGCTCGCACTCGCGAAAAGTGACTCAAAACACGAAAAGTGGGGGAGGGGGGCTTTCGCTCCGAGATGAATTCGGAGTTTCAAAATGCGAAGGTACGAAAAAAATGACATTATCTCGGCTTCTAATGGCCCATTTCGATCTTTTTTTTTAATCCGATGTCTCGCGAGCCAAGGAATTCGAATATCGCAATCGTCAACTCTAATTTGCACATATTCTTATAAACAAAGTTTATTATTTATGCATTAAGTATATTGTATATTTTAACTTATGCTATTGCATTTTTTCAATGAAAAAATTGTTTACGGAAATATTTCAACACTGAATATGAATGTATTTAGTTATAATTATTACAATTATTTAAATAATTTTTGTTTAAACAAATTAAAAACAATATTTTTTTAATTTGGAAATTAATATTTTTGTTAAATAGATAAAATTCTAGATACTTTATTTGAGGTGCAGCATTTTGAATATTCGAATTTTTTTTTGTTCAAAAAATTATTTTGCGAAAACTATCGAACCTATTTTAATGAAATTTGGTGTGTTGTTTTATTATACTCTCAAGTTTTTTTTACCAAAATTAGAATGCCCTCGGAGCAATTAAAATATCTTAAAAAAAATTATCCAAAAAACTTGATTATTTTGCCTTTTTTTTCATCAATTACTGCTATTTTGCAACATCGGTAATAAATTTAAACATTTTTAACTTACAGTATATTGTGCAAAATTCAATTCTAAAACTTTTTTTCCTCTTCAATATTCTTCCAAAATGCATAGGTTCCAAGTTATAAGTAAAAAAACTCAGATAAAATAGGTGTTTTTTTAAATGTTTTAAAAATTTTTGCAATTTTGAAATTGTTCCGGACCTCGCCCAGATCTAGGGATATACACTTTTATTATTCGAGTTCTCCTGAAGGTAATCCAGAAAAAATTTGCTTTCCCTCTCTCACGAGCGGTCTATCTCAAACTAAAGTGGGTATCATAGATAAAATGACGCCACATCGCAATGACGTGTCGTTTCAACATATTACTCCATATTATGCAAGATTTATTTTTCTGAAAGGAAATATTACCGTAAAAACAGAACTCATAACAATTTTTATAAGTATATATTTTTTTCTTCATTTAGTAACACCACCATCCAAACTACCACGGAGGGGAACACTAACCTGAACGACACCCTTGACGGAACACCGGATATCTCCGAGAACGACGTCAGAACGAGCGAAGAAATTACCACGGAACGTACCAGGACCTTCCAGAAGGTCATCTACCCCCACTCCAAGCACGACGCCCCGTTCAAGGTCAGCTTCGACGTCAACGAGAAGATCGTGAACCGACCGGACACTGAGGATGTCGCGGAACACAGCCAGAACATTCAAATGGTGGAAGATATGAGCAGGCTGGGACAGATCGGCGTATTTTTCGCGGAGATAGTGGGGAGTATAGTGGGACTGATCTATGGGGCAGCTGCCCATATCACTAGCAATACGAACGGAGGAAAACATTTGGAATAGACAAATATTTTTTCTAAATATACATTTTGTATTATTATTTTTGTCCAAATATTAGTTAGTAGATGTTAATTAAAATTAATTTATTTGATATTTTGTTTCTTCCGTTTGCTATTCGGAAATAGTTTTTGGTATAGTTGTTACGATGTCAATTGGAACCCGTAAATCTTAAAGCACAGGACCGTATGCACTTCTCCTGAAATTTCTTCTTATGCTTTGACCATGATGTGTCTCGTAATTTATACTCAACTAGCAATTCGGCGAGTTCGGTATTGGTAAACTAGTCCGCCTGATGTAGAATTGACGGCGGCGCGCTGGTCATCAAAGCAAACCTGTATTGGTCTACTAGGTCGTAAATATTTTTTTTGCATGGTACACGGGTTCACTTAGCTTTGCCGCTTTGCCAGTGCCGTGCAGAGCATTGCTTGGCGGGGTATGTTGTTGGTATAATACGTATTATTATTTATTAGTTGATATTATTATTTGTTCATATCGTAACCAGTAAAGGGTAATAGTTATTAAAATAAATGTTATATAAGTAATTATCTAGTAATTTAGCGTGGCTCTCTGGAGACTCTTTGAAGCGGAGGATAACGAAATAACTCGGGAAAATCCCCAAATAGTGGAACCGGTTTTTGTCGAAAGTATCGAAACAAACTCAGAGTTTAAAAACAATGATTTACACGTAAAAAGTCAACGTATTATATTAAATATATATGAATGTTTGAAAATTGAAAATAGTGAACAATAAAATGCCTACTAATAATTTTTTCACGTTCAAACTCTGATTCGACAGGAGTATTAGTCAATTTACTGCTATGAATTGTATCCATGTGGATGGGAAGATAACAACTTTGCTTAACAGGTTGTTGAGTAAACGTACATACTTTGCTCAGTACTTTACGATTAGATAAGCTTTTGTTTGTTAAATATATTTTTCGAGTAATTCTACAGATCTGTTTACTGTTGCCCAATTTTATTACCGTATCACATTTCTCTGGCACCTTCAACTGTACCTTAATTTCATAAATGCTACGTATATTAGCATATATGTACAGAGTGGCCAAATGAAAACGAAACAGCCATTTTCAGGAACTGCGTCAAGATTGTAGAAAAACGCTCAGACCCGTCGATTTTAGATTAAAGGGGGACATTCTTTGCTGGTATTTTTGACTTTCACCACCAAGCAAGAATATGCATCACCCCAACATATTTAAATGGCATTGGGGGTTGAGTAATATTTCTTTTGAAAGCTCTTACAATTCCCTTTACAACATACTTTAAATTTTATAATTCCGCCCAATACTTATTAAGAATTTTTAATAAGTTGAAACTTATGTACAAACAATTAGTAACGGTAAAAATGTCAAGTCATTCGAGTTAAGTACGCCAATGGTATAAATTTAGTATTCCTTGCGTTACATTGGTTTTTGGCGATTTGTTATCACTTTCGTAAAAAAACACAAATGTAAAAAACAGAAATTAATGCTATACACACACAATGAACGTAAAATTAGTGGATTCCAAATTATTTTCTAGTATTATTTGGAAGCGTTGGTTGGTAGTTTATTTAATTGTGTTTTTGAAAATTAAACACAATGATTTATTCCATTGCGGAAAGGGTACATATCATTTCGCTTTACTTTATGAACAATAAATGTGCGAATAGAACAGCTCAGCTATTTAATGAACAACATCAAGATCGACATGTCAGGAGGGAATGTCTGGGATCAACCGAACTAGCATACAAACCATTTTGAAGAATAAATTCCATCCATACAAAATACATTTAGTCCAGGAACTTCATGAGGATGATTATGACCGCCGTTTGCAATTTTGCGAAATAATGAGTGCGAGCGAGTAGGGAACGATCCACGGTTCCTTTTTAACATCTGTTTTTCTGATGAATGCAGTTTTTTCTTGAACGGGACGGCAAATCGTCACAGTTGCCGCTATTGGTCCGATTCAAACCCAAGAATTTTTCACGAGGTGCATACACAGCATCCGGAAAAATTAAATGTATGGGCTGGAATTTTCGGTGACCGGCTGGTGGGTCCTTTTTTTCTACCTGGTAATTTGACTGGCCAAATGTATTTGCAATTACTGAAAGAGGCTATTGACCCTGCCTCGACTGATATTATTGAAAATGTTCCAGAGTATGATGAAGATCATTTGATTTTTCAACAGGATGGTACTCCTCCGCATTATGCGTTAATTGTCCGTCAGTATCTGAACCAACGTTTTCTACGGAATTGGATTAGGGGAAGAGTCAGCATTGAGTGGCCTCTACAATCACCGGATTTATCGCCCCTTGATTTTTTTTTGTGGGGATACCTAAAAAGTAAAATCTATAAGACACAGCCGGAAGATTTGCGTCAAAGAATCGTCGACGAATGCCGTCGAATCACTCCGAAAATGCGTTTCGAACAAAATCTTTATTCTTGTATGGAAGCGGGCGGTCATCAGTTTGAACATTTGATCAACTAAGTAGTAAGTGAACAACTAAACATAATTTAAATTTTAAAATGTAAATTCTTTTCAAAGTATTGGGCGGAACTATAAAATTTAAAGTATGTTTGTTATAAAGAGAATTGTAAGAGCTTTCAAAAGAAATATTACTCAACCCCCAATGCCATTTAAATATTTTAGGATGATGCTTACCCTTGCTTGGGGGTGAAAGTGGCGGAGTCAAAAATACCAGCAAAGAATGACCCCCTTCAATCTAAAATCGACGGGACTGAGCGTTTTTCTACAATCTTGACGCAGTTCCCGAAAATGGCTCTGTTTCGTTTTCATTTGGCCACCCTGTATCTTACTTTATTCTATAAAATAAGTAGAAATTTTGCTGTCCACCACGGACTGTCTTTCGTCGTGAAGGATGATTGTATAAATTCAAATTTCAGCTACATCTTCTTCAAAAAACAACATATTGCTAGTGAAATTTGATACAGGCAAGTTTTTAAGAGTACTTGAACAGTGTTGTTAGTTTTTGACCATCTGCTAGAGGGCGCTGGCTACCACCTCTCTTAGTAACGTTTGATTACGTTATTTTGTTTCAATTAAAATGTAAATTTTAACTTTCCACAAGAAAGTGCTCTTGTTAGAATCGCTTCTTTCGCGGTACTATTAAAAATGTTAGTTAACAAATCATCGCTATGTAAACATGTAATTATATCGGATAAAAACAGATATTATTAGATTTTAATGACTTAAATCGTAATTATCTCGTTTTAATAATTAAACAATAACATCAACTATTTGTCGTCGGATTTACAGTTGCTCCAAGTATTTTGTTCACGGAATGTTAAATAAATAGTTTACTAGTGGATTTAAATACAGGGTGTTTTGAAATCGGTACCACACATTTCGACATTGATAGGACATCGAAAATTAAGGACATTTATTCTTATAGGGGCCTATTGTCGCTTGTTTTTGAGAAACAGGGGCTCAAGAATTAAATTTCAATCACATTTAAAAATATATATATATGGTACACGGGTTCACTTAGCTTTGCCAGTTGCAGTGCAGAGCATGGCTTGGCGGGGTATGTTGTTGGTATAATACGTATTANATATATATATATATATATATATATATTGATACCCGTGGACCATTCGAAAGCGTCGCAAAAATGTTCTAATTTTTTTTCGCTTATCGTTCAGTTTTTGTGACTAGTTTATATTTCTGTGGTTTAAATCCACGAAAAAATCAGTGCAATTTTGTCTAGGGTACCCCCCAAGAAAAAAAAATGCTCTGGTATTTTTTTCGTTGCCATAGTAACATCGCTTGTTTGGATACAAAATAGAAGTGTCAAATTTTCGACAGTATTTTTTCATTCCATTAAAACTGACACTAACATAACTTTTTAAAGAAGCGAATTTGTACTAAGGCAAACCAAATTTCAACGAATTACCTTGTTTTTTTGGAAAAGATAAGTATAAACTTGATTTAAAAAGTCCGTATCTAAAAAAACAGAAGACGTTCGGCCTATAAGAGAAAATCGTCACTTTTTATGTTCAATCGACCCCTAAATTTACAATATTTAGGATTTACGAATTTAAAATATTTATAACTATAATTTAGACAAAATCGGTTAAAAGTTAATTCTAAAGACTGGATACTTGAGCGAAACCACCCATGAAACTAGTTTCATTCCGACGAGTTCTGAAATCAGAAGCCGGTGAACCTCAACAATACCGATCAACCTTGGCAGGTTCAAAACCCCCTGTTTACCGTCAAAGTCCGCGGGATACAATTCGAAAATTCTTTGCTAACAACAAATATAAAAATGTGAAGCATCGACACGGGTTGCCACGAGACCGGATTTTAACGCTACTAAGGCCGCTTATCTTATCTTATCTATGTAAGTAACTACGTGTTCTGGAAGTTGGTGGTTATGTAACGAACAGGGCCGCGCCACGAGGGAACCGAGCGGGGTTTGCCCAAGAAAATTTCCACGCGCTGTGAAACATAATAAATATGTTGACTACCAATTCAATTATATAGGCCAGGAAATATAGAGTTGTACGCGACTTTTGATTTCGACGAGCTGATTTTATCACTATAGATGCTAAATATTATATACAGGGTGATTCACTATATTTTGACCCCCCCTTTAACTTTTTTGCCTTAAGAGTCATAAAAAAATGTGAAATATAAAAGTTACAGGAGTTTTTATGAATTTTTCGCAAATAATAGTAAAAAAACAAATGAAGTTCAAACAAAATGGATGTTAACTTTGTTCAGTTAAATGAAACACCCAGTATATTTTTACATATTTAGATAGATCGTTCCCTGTCGAGCATAATCATGTAGGTTTGTTGGGTCCATCTCTAACAATAAGCGAGATACTATTAAAAAACGAGAAGGTTTTTTTGTTAAGATAATACATCTTGTAATTGTTAGATCTATTTCAGGCATTTCTGCCTTTTTCCAATTACGTAAGGATTTACAGATTTAGTTATAATATATTTTGACAGATCGGACATTGATATGATCTAAAAATGCGTATAGGTATTGTAAC